TACTACAAAAGTACAACTAAAGCACAACAAAAGTACAAATAAAGTACAACTAAAGTACTACAAAAGTACAACTAAAGTACAACTAAAGTACTACAAAAGTACTACAAAAGTACTACTAAAGTACAACTAAAATACTACAAAAGTACAAATAAAGCACAACTAAAGTACTACAAAAGTACAACTAAAGTACTACAAAAGTACAACAAAAGTACAACTAAAGTACTACAAAAGTACAATAAAAGTACAACTAATGTATTACAAAATACTACAAAAGTACTGACTAGCACTACAAAGTACACACTGCTGTTAACATAGCAGTAATAGTAACTGTTGTAATAGTAGTAGTAGTAGCAGTAGTACTAGCAGCAGCAGTAGTAGTAGTAGTAGTAGTAGTAGTAGTACTTGTACCTTGCTGACTCCAGGCTGTAGTAGTAGTAGTAGTAGTAGTAGTAGTAGTAGTAGTAGTAGTAGTAGTAGTACTTGTACCTTGCTGACTCCAGGCTGTAGTAGTAGTAGTAGTAGTAGTAGTAGTAGTAGTAGTAGTAGTAGTAGTACTTGTACTTGTACCTTGCTGACTCCAGGCTGTAGCAGTAGTAGCAGTAGTAGTAGTAGTAGTACTTGTACTTGTACTTTGCTGACTCCAGGCTGTAGTAGTAGTAGTAGTAGTAGTAGTAGTAGTAGTAGTAGTAGTAGTAGTAGTAGTAGTAGTACTTGTACCTTGCTGACTCCAGGCTGTAGTAGTAGTAGTAGTAGTAGTAGTAGTAGTAGTAGTAGTAGTAGTAGTAGTAGTACTTGTACTTGTACTTGTACTTGTACCTTGCTGACTCCAGGCTGTAGTAGTAGTAGTAGTAGTAGTAGTAGTAGTAGTAGTAGTAGTAGTAGTAGTAGTAGTAGTAGTAGTAGTAGTAGTACTTGTACTTGTACTTGTACTTGTACCTTGCTGACTCCAGGCTCGTGTCTCGTTCTCTGTTTGTTCTTCTGGAGTTTTCCAGGAGCCATTTTTCCCGTCCTGAAGTCGAAGCAGGAAAGATCCACAGAAGAACCCAAGAACCGGACCAACTGAGGCTTGGACCGGAACTTTTTACCTGAGGGACTGAGAGAGACCGGGGTTAGACCAGGACTGGACCAGGACTAGACCAGGACTAGACCAGGACTGAACCAGGACTAGACCAGGACTAAACCAGGACTAGACCAGGACTGAACCAGGACTAGACCAGGACTAGACCAGGACTAGACCAGGACTAGACCAGGACTGAACCAGGACTAGACCAGGACTGAACCAGGACTGAACCAGGACTGAACCAGGACTAGACCAGGACTAGACCAGGACTGAACCAGGACTAGACCAGGACTAGACCAGGACTAGACCAGGACTAGACCAGGACTGAACCAGGACTGAACCAGGACTGAACCAGGACTAGACCAGGACTAGACAAGGACTGAACCAGGACTAGACCAGGACTAGACCAGGACTGAACCAGAACTAGACCAGGACTAGACCAGGACTAAACCAGGACTGGATCAGGACTGGATCAGGACTGGACTGGTGTG